ATATGACTAGTAATATATACAGAACACCTCTCGCAACATTTTTTAAAACGATTTCCATTATCTGACCTTATACATCTGTTCAGGACCGATGTCACCATGCATGAACTATACCTTCAAGTACGTCGTGACATTATCGAAGAGCGAATACAGCCCCGGCGTGATGCTGCATACGAGCTAGCCGCCCTGGCCTTACAAGCTGAATTTGGCAATCGACCACCACCGGTAATCCACGATTACTTTGACAACCAGCACTACTTACCTCAGGTAAAGTAACCATTGAATCTATAGGGAGTATTTTTTTCCGATAAAAGCGGTTATGTAGCGCTACTGCAACAGTGATGACCCGAAACGCCTACAGTCAGTGCTGGCTGAGATGCATGGACATTATGCGGGCACAAAGTCATCAGATGCTGAGCACAAATTCATCCAAATCTGCCAACGACATCGTGACTTTGGCGCTCACCTCCATCGAGTTTTCCGCAATAAGCCGACTGGAAACCATGGCGCCGCTCCGTTTGATCCGGATACCGGAGCGGCTTTATGGATAGCCATAATGCCGAGAGGTATCGGTGTGTATGAGGAACAAGGTCCTGTAAGGGAACTTTTGGCTGAACACTTATGGCAGGATACACAAACGTTACAATTTGATAGGAAGAAGTAGGGCTTTGAGGGATTTTTGTTTGAGATGGAGGGATTCTGAGGTTTTTATTACTATGCTTTTAGGTTCGTGATCATTGCCGTTGAGGGGAGCCAACAGACTGAGTCTATTTTCTACACTGATCATCACACAAAGTGAGTATCAATCCGTTCTTTAATTACCAGGTCTAAGTGGAATTTAAAGGATACCCTGGCCAGGCGAAATCATTTAAAATGAGGGTGATCTTAAAAGATTGTGGTAGAGAAACTCTTACTATCGAAGTCCTAGTCGCACATAAATTGGAAGCAAAAAAAAGCGCAATGTTATATAATTTTTCAAACCCCAAAGTGCTTTTGCATCTCATCTTTAAAACTCGCTATGTTCGATATGTCACTCCTATCTCATTTACATGCGCGAATGTGGCTCATCCTTGTCACATTTGAAGCGGATTTCTGCCCACTTGAAGCGCAAATTGTCTTTTTAACGTCTTAAACATCAATCACGCCTTCGTTCATCGAATTCCTTTTCA